ATAAATAAATAAATAAATAAATAAATAAATAAATAAATAAATAAATCTCTATTTGAAATGTTGAAAGCTTGCATAAGAGTTGCTTTGAACTTCTACCTCTTCTGTGTTTGTGTATGTTCTTTTGTACTTCATTTTTTGGCAGGGTATACAGTGCAGTGCTGGGGACTTCTGGAGTGCCCGAGCCACTGATGAAAGATTCAGTGGAAACCACTAAGGGCAAGTTAACCTGGAGATAGGAGGAACTACATAGCTGCTTTGCTATAATGAAACATTGAAAATTTAGATTATTTTAAATAGACGACATTCTCTAGAGTTACACCTTTCAGGATGGCTTGCTGTGGAGAAGAATCCTTTCCTCAGAGCATGGCATTGACAAGAGGTGAGATGTTGAAGAAAGGTGGAAATTAATTCAAAATGTCAAGCCAAGGACAGGTGGGGGCACATCAATCTGCCCCATGCAGCACCACATCTTGCAACTACATTTTGCTCCAAGGTTGTTTCAAACTGAAAATCCTTGGACTAATGATTGAGAAACATACACATGCCTTCATTTTAATATCAACTGACATTGATTGCATTGGAATAATTGTGAAGCTAATTACAAGCTTCACTAATGTGTTTGCTCTTCCCCAAAGAAATAACAATTAAGATAAAATCTAACATGTACTTTCTACTAGACTATATATATATACACACAACACACATACACATACACGTATACATCTGATTAATTTTTAAAAAATAGCTTTCCCTTTAACTTGTAAAAAAGCATTTAATCTTTCACCCATACTAATAACTGATCAACCTTAAGGGCATTTTAGGTTTATATTTTTTAAGGCACCCAAATCATTTACTTATATGATAGAGAGATATATTACTGGGCTGCAAGACTAGTCAGAGCTAGATTGCAGACGACCAATTTTCACGGAGATCATGTTCAACATCCTTGCCATGGCTAGTCATAATAATACCTAGTATGCCATGCAAAGATGCTGATTGACTTAACTACATTTGGAACCTGTACTGATGCAAACACATTTGGCCTGCATTCATGTCACAACAGCACAGGAACTTGGAAGCTTCTTGGAAGCGGGTATGGCCATGAAATAGTATGGAAGATAGAACATCAGAGACTGACAAACACTCTCTGCTAAACAACATCCCTCTGACACTACAGTCTAGTATTTCATTGCTTCAGTTGTCCTTCCCTGAGGTTGCTTCAATGATCTCTTTCTACTCTACTGTTCCTTCAAATTCAGCTGTTCGGATTACCTACCATTCAGTCTGGATGAAAGCACCACTATGAATTTTTGTTGCTTATCTCTTAAAAAATAACAGCAGCTTCTGCAGTCATGCAGCTGAATAATAAAGAGAAAGGAGAAATTCTGCCCCATCTTTGACAGATTTTTCTTATCAGATTATTTTTTGGCCATCACTGCCTCAGAGAAATCAAAACGCTGTGAAGTACAGCAGCATCGACTGGCACCTATTCACTGGCTATGATTCTGCACACCAGCAAGCTAAAATATTCTCTGATTCAAGCTAAATTGTAATTTATAAAATTTACCCCTAGACCAATATGTTTACATGGCTTTTGAGCAACATACCTGCTAAGCCTATTCAATCCTATAATAGTTTGATTTATTTACTCTGAACTTCCCAATGGAACAAGAATCCATAAATTTATGGTGAGCTTATTATTTCTGAGATACTGGGGGGAAAAATGACATTATTGTCAACAGCAAATAAGGTTGGGATTCAAATATTATATAGTTAATCTTGTATCGCACCTCAGCTTGTTTGGATAGCTACAGAAGTACCCCTAATTGTAATGACATTTTTCACTGCACATCAAATGAAACTGCAATCAATGACCCAAACTGAGTTAACTTACACTAAACAAAAAATACAAAAATGGTTAACCTTAACAATGCTAAGACTGTCTTGTTAAAGTTAGATGAATCACAAATATTTCTAATCACATCCTAAGTGTTGTTAAGCATTTTCCTTATAATTCTGTGATTAAATGTCACTGCTTTTGTCCTTTAATATAACCCATTGTTCTATTAGATATCTACCTCTGATTGCCGTCCAATGTTTAACATTGATGAGTAGATTAGAGATCAATTTTTCATTAGACCAAAATATATTAAATAAACTTTTAATTTATTTTATTAATGATTCTTTTAAAATGCTTATATTCTAGATTTTCTTCATTGTAGTAAGCCACAGTGATTGTTGTGGCTGTGGGTGTTTCGGCCATCCAGATCTGGGGATATTCCATCTCTGACCTTGGTTGGGGTTGCACTTCACTAATCAAGAGTGATGTGCAATCTGGGGGATCTCCCTGGACTCACAGCTCCTGATCAATGAGGATTTGCACAGCTTCATCTAGTGTGCCTCTTGCATGCTTTCCTTAATTGGGAGGCCCTTCAGACAGTCACTCATGGCCTGGTCACCTCATCTCTTGGCTACTGCAACATGATCTACATGGGGCTGCCCTTGTAGACTATCCAGAATGCAGCAGCATGGGCAGGGATGGGCATGCCTTGGTATGCCCATGTAACACCTCTCCTTCACAAGCTGCACTGGGTGCCAGGTTGCTTCCGGGTGTGATTCATAGAGCCTGGTTACTTGAGGGACCTCATGTTTCCAATAGTATCTGCCTGACCAATTTGATCAGGCGGGGTTGGTGCATTCTGGGTTTCTTTGATTAAATAATGCCATCTACAGGGACCCTGGATTCTCTGAAGCAGCACCCAGCAAACATTTTGGAGGGAAACAGGAAAATACAGTAAAGTAGAGTTCATCCATGACATCCAGTAGACTTCATGATTTTTTTTCCCCCTGATCTGGGAAGTACCAAAGTATAGAAGGCAACGAAGAGATACAGAAATTTATAACTCTTTGTTCCATTTAGTAATTGTCCATATTTTTGTAGCCCAGATCTGGTGATCCTGCACCAGAGCTGACCAAAGAAAATCTGCTGCCTGGGAAAGAACGAGATGTAGCAAAGTCCCCATTTCATGTCCTTTAACCCCAGTGATGTAATTGGGATAGTGTTATCCATCACATTTGAGGAAATAAGCTAATTTAGGGTACACAGGACAGATTTTTGTGGCATGAATAACTTTGATCTCCAACAGAGAGGAAAAGTTAGGGAGATCCATCTGTCACCTGAGCCAGTTCCCTAATATTTCCTAATGATAGGGTCATGCCTGGCAACACCTAATTCATTCTAAGATGATAAGGTGTCATTAATTGTTTCTTATAGCTAAACCCCTACAGTTGGAGTATTGGTATCAAACTGAATTGTCTCCCCAGTCCCCCCCCCCATTTTATTATTTTTTTTAACCAGTAGGACTATACCAGGAACTTATACTGAATTTATGTTAGCCTGCTACACGAGTTATGTTCTTGCAAAAATAAACCTTCTAGGACCAATGTGATAAACATCATCATTTCAGCTGGCAGTTATAATTACAGAGTTAATCAGAGGCCATTGTAATTTGGCTTAAAATGCTGGATACAACTGAGAAAGTCACTATTCTGAGTATCAAAAATAGCCTGGAACACAAGTTAAAATTAATAACAGAAAATTGTTTAGCATAAGCATAAAGGTTAGAATTATTCTCATTTGTCAAGGTTATAGAGAAATGTATAGTCATATTCAGAGGCAGCATTGTCTGGATGAATAAGTAGTAATGGAATTGGCTTGCATGGCACAGATCTGTGCAGATGGTAGACAAATTATATGTTTGTCATGTTTCTATAACACACCAAATTTTCAGCATTAATAATGTGGTCTGTAAGAGGATATAAGTTTCCATGAAATATAAACTTTCTCAATGGATTCCCAGCATTACAGCTAAAATTAATTTTGAATGCTTTCAGATAGAGAATATTTGATAATAAGGGAAGTAAAATATAGAAAATAATACTTCACTTTAAAAGAGTTGGTAGGCTGCATTTTTAAAAGATTATAACCAAAGCAGAAGGAGGACTGGGAAAATTAAATATTTGAAATACAATTACTACAGACTCTAGATTTCTGGTGTGTGAATCTTGGACAAGAGTAATATGGTAGAGGGTTAGAGAAGCAAAGTGCTTGAAAAGGAGGCAGAAAAGAAAGAGCAGCAAAGAAAATACATTGGAATGGCAGTCCAGAAAGACCAGAAATAGGAACCGAGGTAAGTATGACCAACAGATACCCATTACTCATTTACATTCTAATGTATCTGGTCTAATGGGTCAAATGCAAACATTTGACTTTAATTGGTGATTCCATAGAATTTATTGAAAACGTTGATCCTATAAGCATGAACTTGTCCATCCTGTTTTTAGATTTATTCCATTATTCTAAACTTGCAAAGGGAATAAATCTAGGAATCTATTTCATGTAATGTTGTACTCTATCAGCAGATACAGTCTCCTGTGACTACAGATTACAGAAGTATAATTTGATCTAGTTTTATTTTCAGCTCTGGCTTTCTAAGTTTGCTATTGTGAAAAAGAAAGCAACACTAATAATAATGAAATAGATTATATAGGTATGAGGTGTTTTTTTTTCCCCCAATAAGTTTTCATAGAATTTGAGATGATGATAGACTTGACTAGACTTCCCTGGGGAAGCTTTAAGCAGAATTGATGCACAGAAACCTCTGTACTTAGACCTGTGAGGCACTTATGACAATTGGGATCAAATATATCTGTGACATATGATAAACTTTTAAGAAATATACTTACATTGTGCTTTGTGAGGTTGGAGATATTAATCGCTATTGCTTGCAGCCAGTCGATACAGTCTTCAGCAGAGAGACACTGAATTATTCCACTGCAAATGCCATCCACAGCAACTACTTGGAATGCATTTTGCCTATCAACACATAATAGATTAAGCTGGAATCTAATCCAGGACCGCCAATTTAATAATATTTGCAGAAAATATTCATCCCTCTGATACCCCCTCACAATACAAGTTAGCCACTGAACTCTTACATCTTTTTTTATTATTATATGAATCACTCCTTCTATATTTAGCACTTTTACATGGCATATGACCAGATAAAACTTGGCAAATCTTGCAGGACCAGCTGAATAGAAATTGCTTACACTGGCTGCTTTTCTTACACAAAAAGCTTGAAAATGTAGGAGTTTGGCAGATTGTAGAAGCTAAACTGGGTGGTACAAGGTGCTTTTCAGACATTGTGCTATGCTTTGAGTCTACTGATTCTTGTGCAGTTATTCTTGTCATTCTTGGGGAATTTTATAGATCTATACAGCATCAGTGATATCTTTCTCAACAAGAAAAGAGGCAAACTTTGTGCAAGGGCTAAGGCTATATTTTTCTACATAAATACTACATAGATTTCTGAATAACAAGTTCTCATTTCTGGAAAGAGAGATATACCAACATACCAAATCACTCCTTAAGCAAGAATGAAACATGGTTGGAAAGCTTGCTTGCATTTATTTGTATTTACAGTATATTTTATTTGTATTTATTTGCTCCTGTTTATGTTTTAATTATTTTTTTAAATTCTTTGTGTTATCTTTTGTAACAGCACAGTAGAAGGATGCCAAGCCATCTATAATCACTAAATACATTTCTTTCATTCATTCATTCATTCATTCATTCATTCATTCATTCATTCATTCATAAGAGTTATACAGCTGCTCATATTATGAATCCCTACCTGGCCAGCTCACAAAAAAATAAAAGCATCAAAAAACCAGACAACCACAATAAAAACTCTTGGCCCCTGAGGCTCCGCTCCCATTCTACTCCAGTACCAGCTCTTCAAGGCCTTAAGAAGGATAAAAATGTAACTTACCTAATATTATTTAAAACACAATTGGTGGCAGAAAGCAACTAAAAACAGCATTAAAATTCTATATATGTCTACATAGAAAAAAGTTGCACTGAGTTCAATATTCGCCTTTAATATTCTGTAGTTTTCTAATTCTATTTTGTAGCAGCCATAAGAATAGAGTTATAAAATCACTACTACTGTCTGAGCTTCAGCCTGGATACAACAGTAAATCTCTCTCTAGAGCATAACCAGCACTCAGGAGCTAAGAGTAGAAGGGGTCAAGGATAAGGTTCAGGTAGAAATAGTGCTTTTATTGCAGACACAAGAAACCCCAATAATAAAGATCAGCTACTGGAGAATCCAGCAATTCAGCCAGATATATATAATTGCTCCAGGGTTTAAATCCATCTTTTCCTTTTTTGGTCCTTACATAGTAATGGACTTCTCATTTCTCAGCTTTAGAGAGCACTTGACCTGTGTTTTGATAATAGCTCTGCCTGGTCTCAATCTTCCTGGTTCCAGCCTTGGAGCTTTAGCCTTTATAGCTATTGTGCTCCCACATACATTCCATCATGTTCACATCCAAAGCTCATCTAAAAATAAACAAGGGAAGATTTGTTTTTAAAGAATTGATGAAATGATTTGGGCTGAGACTGAAGTAAGGGAACATGGGAAGGAATATTTTAGAGAATTGTACAGGAATGATTTCAATGTGCCAAATAATAAAACTGAAATGAATGCTGCAAATCTTTGTGTCCTAGAAAAATCAATGATGAAAAGGAAATTACAACATTACAGTAACAATGTTGAAAAATGGTAATGTTCCAGGATTAGTGAGGATAATTGGTGAAATGTCAAAATATGAATGTAGTTTGCTTATGGAGAGGTTGTCAGATTTTTTAAGAAGGATGCAAAGACTGCATCTCTACCTGACATTTGGAAGAATGCCATTGTTGTTCCACTATACAAAGGGAAAGGTAGCAAGGAGGTGTGCAAAAACTACAGGCCCAGGCTTCCATGGGGGATACAACATTAGCACACATTCAAAAGGAGTGAGGCTTCAGTTGCATAGTTGTGTACTCCCTTTTTTAATCTTCCTGGAGATACCACTAACTACTGAGTTCACTAAATGTGTCTGTAATGAGGTTGAGTAAAAAGTCTATTGTACATTTGTTGATTTAGAAAAGGGTAGGATAAAATGAATAGGCTTAAATTAGTTAAGGTTTTGGGCAAATACGGAGTTAAAGCTGATTTCTGAGTTTGATAAAGCAATGTATAATGGAAGTAAAGTATGCATGATAATAAATGAATTTGTAGTGAATGGTTTATCACTGATCAGGAAATAAAACAAACGTGCCTTATCTTCTTAATTGCTTAAGGCATTCACAAATAAATGTATTAGGACTGCTGGTATTGTTTAGGGATGTGAATGTACATATACTTTTGTATACAGATGATATTATGTTGTAGGCTGAGAACCCAAATGATTTGCAGCAAATGTTAGACTGTTTGATGGAACAAGGAGTATGTATCTAAAAATTAATGTATCAAAGACCACAGTAGTTGTGTTTGATAGAGAAAATGGAATGAATGATTGTTAAGTTTTACATACATGACAAAAAAATTAGAGTGTATATCTTGGTAAAATGTTTACTAAAGATGGAAAAATTCAGAAGTTTTTTGATCTGCAAATGCTGGTCAAAGGGCATTGGGCAATGTATGGCTGTTTGAGGAATGAATGTTTGTCAAAAGAAGTAAAGTGGTTATGTAGAAGAATGTGCTTCTACCACTTTGTTATAAGGTAGTGATAACTGTTCACATCAGGATAAACATAAAAGAAAGCCAAATCCAGTGGGAACGGGATGTTGAAGAAGCTTGTGTAATAAAGCAAAAGAGACAGACTCAAGAATGAATGGGTGCTGAATAAATGTGGACTGAATACAAAAATGTGTGAGCAGTACAAAAGAGGTACCTTGAGATACATTGGCTATATAGAGAGAAGGAATGAGGAGTGAATAACTAAACAAATACATGAAGGAAAAGTGAATGGGTCAAGAGGAACCGGAAGACTGAAAAAGTTCTGGATTGCTGAAATCTATGAGGTCCTGAAAAAGGGAAAGGTGAGAAATTGAAGCAAGCAAAGGCAATAAATGAAACAGAATATGGACATGTTGGTAGTGAAGAGAGGTTGGGAAGGATAGAAAAGTATGGTGTAGAATAGTGAATGGTTTGAAGTAAATTTGTTTCCTTTCCTTTCCTTTTTTTTTTTTTTGTTACTTTATTCCTTTATTTTTTTTTTTACTGTTTCTTACTGATTTTCTGTATTCTATATAATACTGCTCACCCCAAAATGAAATAAAGTGATGAGTATGTATGTAAGTTTACAACTAGAGAATCTTCATTTAATTAATTTTCAGTACAACTATAAATAAAACAGGTAAATAGCAATATATTAGTGACAACAACAAAACAATTACTATATTTTTAATGAAAAAAAATAGTACATTTTGTAATAAAATAAACCATGAGAATTGTCTCCTACCCAACCCAACCCAAATAATGTAAAACAACTAAATTCTCATTTTGACTGGCAGAACTGAATTTTGTTTCTTTTTTATGATTATTATTATTATTTCAAAAATTAGTCAGGGAAAGGGTCGGAGGATTGGAAATTGAGCTGCATAACTTCAATGATTTTCGTATTGCACTTTTCCAACATTTGGACATAAGTGAAATTAAATGATAACCTGTGACACATCCATCAATGTAAGGGGATGGGAAAACTATCCAAGTGTTCCATGTCACTGTGTTTGGCACATCTATGTTGTCTGCTATAATACATTGTGGACTGATTTACTGGCACAGAGTAACAAGTAATTATGAAGTCTACAGAAAATCTTTGTATGCTGAAGCAAAAAGAATGCAAAGTCTTCAGCTAATAGTCTTTTTGGCACCTAGCCTAAAGAAATATAATGGGTCTAAGTATCTTAAAAACCACCAGAGGAAGTTCATGTTTCAAGATGAACCTGTCTCTGAGTTTGCCAACTGGAAATTTTGCAACAAGTCCATCTGTTCAATTTAATCAATATACAGATTAAAAATAGGAAATTTAGAACTTGTAAGAATAGTTAATCCAAAATCAATCCACTATTCATAAGAGCTGGATCACAGAATAGCAGATGTAGCATCATCATAATCAATCATGATTACCATTATCATCATGGTATCTATTTACCTGCACATATCTGATCCTGGGAGATACTGAGAGAATCTTGAATGAAGAAGAGGAATTAATCGGAGGTCACACCACCTTTTCTCCCACCTAAGACCTGGAGATGTAGGCCATGAAGAACACGAGAGTGTATCCTGAAAACAGATGTCAAATATCTTTGATGTTTAGCTTTATAATAAACATTTACTATTAATGAATATCTAGTCTGTTTCATTATTCTTGCCAATTCAAGCCATTAGATTTTCCTCTCCACTGAAATGCTATTTTATTAGCTTTTGTCATCTGTGCTTTAGATTCAAAGCTCGTGTTCCATTGTACCCTCCTGCAACTAAATACACCCTGATGCAACTAAATTTCAGCACTTTTTGTCACCACATAACTGAATGATAGTAATTTTTAATGTTTTAAATAAGACTACTGAGAATAGTGTATATAACCAAGAAAACAAACAAACAGATCATCAAACAAATCATCCCAGAATTCTCACTCGAGGCACAAATGGTCAGGCTCAAATTATCCTACTTCTGACATATTATGTGAAGATCCATTCCTCAAGAGAAGGCTCTAATGCTGGGAAAGGTGGAAAGAAAGAAAAGACAACCACCAGTAGCAAAGTGGATGGACTCAGCTGCAGTTATCTGAATCCACTGTTAGAAGCCCTGAAAGATCAAGTTAGGGGCATCATGGATAAATCTATCTACGTGGTTGTCATGCATCGACACTAACTCGATGGTACATAATCAATCAATACATCAATATTTCATTCATTTTGAATAAATCAGTTGGTGTTTGAATATTTTAATGGCAGCAAAAACTCAGTCTGGCCTAATCTCACCATTCTCATTGTTTCAAATTATATCAAAAACTATGTTTTCAGGGCTAAGCTAAACTATATACAGCGGTGCTTAAAAGTTTGTAAATCCTTTTGAATGTTCAGTATTTCTGCATAAATATGACCTAAAATGATCGGTTCTCCACACAAGTCCTAAAACTAGATAAAGAGAACCCAATTAAACAAATTGGTAAAAAAAAGATTATACCTGTTCATTTATGTATTGAAGAAAATAATCCAAAGCTACATATTTGTGTGTGGCAAAAGTATGTGAATTTCTAAGATTATACGTTCATTCAAAGGGGAAATTAGAGTCAGGTGCTTCAGTAATAGGAAGATTATCAGGTGTGAGTGTGGGAGCCCCTGCCTTATTTAAAAAACAGGATTCTGGGTATTCACTATGAAAGAAACACACACACGTGCATAAATACCCTCTAACATCAATATATCCTGATGTTCAAAGGGGAAAAAAGAATGTGTTGAGGCTCCAAAGACCCAAAGTGTAAAAAAAGTGTAAAGGTCCCAGGAAAAGCTACATTACTTAATTGTTTTAAGTTTACCTAGAACAAAAAAAAAAGTGTCACGATATTCCTGACTGAATCTATCTAGCCCATTTTAGAGGCATGTTAGTACAGAGTAACGCTGTAAAGGATATGGATTGCTGTTGTTTTTTGAGTCTCAGGGTCAGTTGGTACTATGAAGCAAAGCATGAAGAAATCTCTTTCTCTAAGCCCAGCCCTAATCCTCCAGATTCCATCACCACCAGTTAGCACAGTTAAGGGGAAGGCATATTATATAACATTTGCTTTACATACAGCTTCCTCTTGTATATTCTGAACAAACAGTGAAAACACTACTCATTATTTATTATTTTACTGAATGCTTCCAGCACTGATAAATCACTGGGATAAAAACATTTCCAATCTCATTCATATGTTAAGCAACCTTCAGCTTCAACTCATCTAAAGTAAAATGTTAACATGCCCTTAGATTGTGCTCACACTTCTTAGTCAAAAGCCTTTATGTGAAACATTTTCAACTTCTTGACAGTCTGATAAAACATTCTCTTACCGTATTATTGGGATGATAGTTAAGATGTAAACCACTGTCACACAGAGGTGATGATGTGCCACTGCTTTGATCACTAGGAATACCTAATAAAAAATATAATCTATTTAAATACATAACAAAGCTCACTGAGTTATAAAGACTTTCTAGTCAAAATTGACATTTGTCTATCATGGTTAGAAGTCAGCAACAGATCAAAGATCATTGTTCTCTCTATCTGGGGAGTGTTGTAAAGTATGTAGTGATCCTAATATTTTATGCTAGGATTTCATGTAAGACACTCATGTAACCTACTGCAATATTCATTGAGCTTTTAACCATTATTTTTAAAAAATGCTTCCCAAGGATGTGACGGTAGAAGGTCCAGTACTTTATCTGCTCACAACATCTCTGATCTTCTGAAATCCCCCCTTCCCCAAATAATCAACTGAGGAAAGTAAAATGCGTTAAGAGCATCAAGTAGCCGTATGTTTATCCTGAGCAGAACGTTTGTTTGTTTTTAAGTAAGACATATTTTGATCGCTATACTATCACGGTATTTTAAAAAATGTGTTAAATATATTAAAAATGTATAAAAACTCAGTGGTCTCATCTGCAAAGAACAGCAAATTTTGATTTAGTATGTAAGAACAACCAGCAGTAGCACTCGGTGTTAAATTCAATTCTTCTCTTGCCAGGAAATATTTGGAAACATTGACATTCCATTTTAGATTAGTTGCAACTAACTACAATGTTCCAGTAGTAATGTATGGCTGTGAGAGCTGGACCATAAAAAAGGCCGAGCGCC